GTACGTTGCTAAAGCGAGCTAGACTTAGTGAAAACAGTACGCATAATATTAAAAAATAACTGCATGTCTCCAAAGTCCTTATTTCTTCACCAATAAGGCAATACAGTAAAGAAGAAAAGAATAACTTGAAGAAAAACTCTGATGAGACTCAAGTGAAAGTTTTGCCTTTAACTTTGATAAAGAGTGATGTCAATCATATAAAATTTCTACTGTTTATCTAATCACAGCTTGCAAGCTTCCTCCTGTTCAGATTCTCCCGTAAAGAATTTTCTGCATAAATTGTCCTTAGCCTTTTGAAATTCTCATACTCAAAACTGCACAAATCAACAATTTTGGAAGAAATTATGGTTCTAGCCATGTTTCAGCACAGACATACCAGAGGTAAGAATCTAGCATCCCCTTCTTTACAATGCCACTGCATATAATCCAGATGAACAAAAGGGTACACAGTCACTGTATTAGTAAATTGATGGAAAGGTGCCTTTGTTCATTCTTACCAGGGTATCAGACAGCCTTAACCCTGCAAATGCACATTAGAGATGCATAAACACCCACGACTGGTAAGGACGACTGACAGACTATTATCCCTCCAGAGCAACAGGTTTAGGAAAAAACAAGCTCTAACAACACTTCCTTCCAAAAAAGCACAGGTTCTTGGCCCACATGAATCTCTAAGGAATACAGCCAGGTTTCTGCCATTCTTATTCACACTGTAGCCTACAGTTATTCTCAAATCCCTGATCTTCAAAACAACTTGTAACCGAATATGAGAGTGGTACAGCAGGAAGGAACAAAGATTTTTACAAGTACACAAGTATCTTCAATGCTCCTATAAAACTGTAGTTATATCTAGAATACATGAGAGGCAAATGCATCTTGTGCTTATGGAATTGGCAATTCACATGCCTGAAGGTATTTTTATATATTCAGTCAATGTGACAATAATTATGACTAAGGAAGCAGAAGTAAACGTCACCCTTGTAACTCAGCTCAGTTCTGTGAAATGAACAAAGATTTGGTGACAGAACTTTTAACACTGAACATTAATCTTTACAAAAATCCATGAAGTTCTTATTCTATTGTCTAGTTTCAGATTTCACATTTTTCCTTACACATCTAAGATGTCCAGCAGAAAGTCACCAAGCAGATCAGGAGGCTGAAGAACATGACATACAAGGACAGGCTGAGAACTGGGCTTGTTCAGCCTTAAGAAGAAACGGCTAAGGAGAAACCTCATTGCTGTCTTACCAATACCCGATCGAAAAGTACAGAAAGGAAGGAGTCAGACTGTTCTCAGAGGTCCACGGCAATAAGACACGATGGCAAAGATGCAAGTTAAAACACGGGAAATTCCAAACAGATAGCAGGAAAAATATATTATCAGGAGAGCGGTCAATCACCGGCACAGGTTGCTCAGAGAGGTTGAGGAACTCCATTCTCAAAGGTATTCAACACTCAACTGGACATGGCCCTGAGCAACCTGATCTCATTTGACCTGCCTGGAGCATGGGGTAGGACTAGGCAACCTCTGAAGATTCCTTCTAACCTAAATTATTCTGTGATTCCATGAATACAGTTATTAAGGTTAATGAAAGGAACTTAAATTTAAAAAAAGACTGCAGAAGTCTCATAGTAACACATTTTCCAGAAATTCTTGAGAGCAAGTGAAAGGCATTACTTCATTAGATTTAAATCTTGAAATACATTGATTTAATGAAGTACAACAATTTTGATCTCATCGATTTCCTCTGAGATGCAAATGCTTACTTTCTCATCTAAGTTCTTACAGGCATAATTAATGCCAGTAAGACGTAGGCCACATTGCTGAAGAAACTTTGGGACTGGTGGCTTCAAAGCATCATGAAATACAAGTGAAGCTCTGTGTAGGTCTTTTTAATATACATGGTGCAAACCCAGACCAAAGCTTCACATTTTCATTTGAAACAGGAATGCTTTGTATTAAAGCATAAACGATGGCAATAAGGTTTAGGACTACACTACCTCTGCTGTAAGGTATTGATGCCCACCCTCCATTAGTATCACATACATGTGAACATTAGCTCACGACACTGACCAGAAATAGGTTTGCTGGCACCTGGAAGGACTGCAGATAGGATCAGCTTTAGGCCAAGGGGAGAAAACATGCCTCCATGCTTGTATACTACCAGCTCTCTAACCAGACTTCAGAATGGTCTGCACCTATACAATAAGAGACAACTGAAATCCCAAAAAAGTAATCTTTAAGATGAAGAAAATAAATACTACAATTCTGTTTAATCAGTAGGAAAACTCTGTTCTCCCTTCTCTAGCAGTCTGCTGTAATCATAAAGGATGGGATTCCTGTTACCTAACTTTAACCGGCTCCAAGTTTAGCATGTAATCCAAGAGAGACTCCCTTTACATTCAGTGGTGAGGGTGTATTTATATCAGATACAAACCTTGAAACAGAAATAATTTAGCTGATACGGCTTCCGCACGATGGGCAAAATCAAGAAGAGCAGAATGAGAGAGGTCTTACTCAGCTAATAAAATACCACACAAACCAAATCAATGGTTCATCTCTAACACTTCTTTTCATGGTTGGGAACTAGTAGAACTGTCTCACATTTAATTTGAACATACTGTAATGAACAATATTGCATTGCTAGTGGAAAAGGTTTTTTCTACATCTAATAATTTCCAATAGCTGTCTTGTGAAAAAAATTCCACATCAAAACACAGAGGCATATGCATTTCCGATGCATACTGAACCTCAAAGTAACATATTAGTTTTTAATATCTAGAGCTATAGAATTTCATATTCCCATACATGGTGCCATTAAAGTGTTGTATGCTTTTGAATATTTCGTATTTTATCAAATGTTTTTGCAAACATTTTTGCTCAGGAAAAAAAGTCTGCTATTTTGCCCTCAGATACAGATGGAAATCAGCATATTTTCAGGACTCTAAATATTGCATTTTCCTTGCATTTGTTTTCTGATGTTGTTGGTGGCTATAGCACTGTACTGTACAGTACTTAAAAGTGTAATATGACTCCCAACTTTCACACCTTGTCAAAGATTTTTCCCCATGTTCTCACTTAAGAATTGCAAAGTCAGTTTTGTAATTTTGTCCCAGTCTTTTTATCTTCCACAAAGAAAATATAAATATATTAAAATACATATATGTACACAAGCATATACATATATATACACACACATATACTTGCACTTCTCCAGTGAGACATGAAGAGAGCAATTGAAAGAGAAAAAGAAGATAGGTTAGCCAACTCTAACTCAATCTTACTCCTTTCTGGCTTATTTTTTGTTGGTTTTTTTTTTAAACCTACAGTTATGATACTGGAAATCCACTCACCCAACTAGTGCTAAGTAATTAAGCTTACCAAATGATTTTGAAAATCTGGCAAACTCAATTATTAAGGCAGCATTATCAGTGCAGCAGTTTCTCTTCCATCTTTCTTGACTAAACATAAAATTTTTCTTGAAACATCCTCGGATATCCACTCCAGGTTCTTTGATGAAACTAAAGGAAATGCCTCATCATCTCAGTAATTTTAATACACTTAGGACAGCATAGGACTAATTGATGAAGTTTACCAGTGCTATCTAAACATTAATAGAGTGAAAACAATAATGCCGTTTTTACTTTACAATACAATGTGCAGAACTTAGATTCTAATTTATAACAGATTTCATTGTATTTGCACTTGTGGTTGTTTCAAACTACATCAAAGCAGTACAGAAACGCTAAGACAAAGAAGTACTTTTGCAAGAAAATTAGAAATAAACATCAAAATATTTTTTGAAACTTCATAAAGAATTTGCATTGTGAAAGCCTACCATTTACAGGTTTTAATTTGGTTGCAGCTTATGTTAAATAAAATTACCTGTACACGGCCCAGGCACAGGAGTTGCTACTACTTACTTTCAAATATTGAACGCAAGATAAAGAATAATTTCTGAAATAGTTATTTTTAAAGGATTAAGCAGCTACTGTAAGTTTTGGGATACTACGTGAATATGTTCCCCACTATAGTTTTCAAGAACTTGCTAACTAGATGATGTTTAGTTAAATTACAATAGTTGCATATGCCAGGGAGAAAATTAATATACTGGTTAAATTCCAGCTTGTAAATATTTTCTGTAAACTCCAAGTTTCCTTCAAAATATATTTTTAGGTTTATATTTATACATGACATCTAGGTAGAAAAATTTTCATTTGCCTGTCTCATAGTTTATTTTCAAATTAGAATTCTAGACTGGGACTAACAACTTCTGAACTCTGTTGACCAGCTCTGCCATCAGCTACATGAACTTGCAAAAAACACTAGTCTGTCTGATGCCTCTGATTCTTTGAGTAAAACGGAACTTCTGTTACTCTTCTTGCAGTTCACATCTCTCATATACTTGAATATTTTGATGCAGGCTACCGGACCCAAGATGAAAACAAAAGTTTAAATTCATAAGCAGAGTTGTTGTTTGATCTGTTTAAATGACTGAACTATACCTTGCAGAAAATTATTTGCTACAAATGGCAAGACTGTAAAGGATATTATCGTACCATTTAATAACTCTGGAAAAAGATGGCCAGTCCAAAACAGGTCTGAGTCACAGCAGGCATCTGTATGGCCAGTATTTGCTCTAAAACCTTTTAGTGGAAAAGATTTATGCTCTTGTGCAAGTCTGGACATTTCCCACCTTTCATTCACTTTTTAAAGACTTTCTGAAAAATAAGCTATCATACTTGAGCACACATCACGATGCACGTACAATCATGATACAACATTCAAAACTGTTGGTCTTTAGATTCAAAAATTTAATACAAGAAAACAAAATACCTGTTTGCTCTTCATTAGAATATAGCAAGCTAATAGTAGCAGGTGTTAAACAAGGTATTTTGCAGGGCTTTCTTCTCCATCAAGCTGCAAGTTAAAATATCAAAATAAAACTTTTTTCCCAGCAATATATTCCCCCATTTAAGAACAGAAAAGAAGAACTTACAAGTAAAGCAATCTTTTAGCAAATTTCTGCTATGACAGAGCTTCACATGGCCCTTCAGTCTACTTCTTGGGTTCATTTCCTAGAACAAAAAGAAACAACACTACAGATGAAACCAGCTATGTAATACTGAATATGCTTAATATTCATCAATCATGCTGTGAAGCAAGCTTTGAATAAATTTTTAATGCCAATGTCTTTCAGGTGGTACAAATCTAAAACAACAACACTTTTGGAGTTATAGGATAAGCTTAAACAAGGTTTATCAATTCTTATGCCAGATTCTGGTTCCCATTCGTCTTTCTGTAGACTCTCAGTTTGACCTGAGATTAATGCTTGAATTCCATAAGCACAAAAACCCAAATGTGACTCTCCCTTTATTAGCAACACCAGCAGAGAAAGCCTTTTTGTAATCACTTAAACCTTATGGCATAGGCCCAATACCATTCAAGACATTCAGCAAAGCACCCAAGCCAGGTTAGCCTGACCCATGCAGCAGCACCAGGAGGAAGCAGTGAATGACAATAGCAGGCAACTCCCTGCTGCAGGGGATGGATGTCCCCATCTGCCAACCTGACCTGTCACCTAGGGAGGTTTGCTGCTTGCCAGGTACTTAGATCTGGGACATTTCAGAAAGACTGCCAAGGCTTGTCCAGCACTCAGACTATTATCCACTACTGCTCCTCCACTTGGGTACCACTGATATTGCTGGGGTGACCTGGAAAGTATCAAGTGTGACTACATGGCTCCAGGGGTGATGGGCAAGGGCATAGGGGCTCAGGTAGCTTTCTCCTCAATCTTGCCAGTAAGAGGGAAGGGCACGAGGAGGAGTGGACAGATCCTGCCAGTCCATAATTGGTTACACTGCCGATGTCAGCAAGAAGTCAAGTAAAAGTGGCAGGACACCTACACAGGTGAACAAAGACCTGACAAAACTCAAATGTAAAGAAGAAGCATACAAGAGATGAAAGCAGGGAGAGGTGACCAGGAGGAAATACAGAAACACTGTTCAAGCACGTAGGTATGGTTTAGGAAAGCCAAAGCCTGTCTGCAGTTGAATCTGGAGAGATGCATGAGAGCAACAAGAAAGGTTTCGACGAGTATGTAAACAGCAAAAGGAAGACTAAGGAAAACGTGGGTCTGTTGTAGAATGGGGCAGGAACCCTGGTGACAAAGGACATAGGAAAGACAGGTACTCAATGCCTTCTTCATCTCAGTCTTTACTAGTAAGACCCATCTCCAGCAATCCCAGGCCCCTGACACCAGAAGGAAAGTCTGGAGCAAGGTATATTTACCATCAGTGGAGGAGGAGGAGGTCAGGGAACATTTAAACAAATTGAATGTACACAAAAACCCTGACAGGATGTGCCCACAAATGCTGAGGGAGCTGGCCAATATTATTATGAAGACACTCTCAATCACCTTTGAAAGGTCATAGCAATTAGGAGAGGTTACTGAGGCCTGGAAGAAAGCAGATATCATTAGTAACTTCAAGAAGGGCAAGAAGGATGATCCAGGGAACTACAGGCTGGTCAACCTCACCTTGATCTCTAGAATGGTTAGAGAGCAACTAACCCTGAAAATCATTTCCAGACACAAGATGGACAAAAAGGCGATTGGGAGTAGCGAGTATGGATTTACAAAGGGGAAATTGTGCCTGATCAAACTAATAGCCTTCTATGATAAGATGACTGGCTCAATGGACAAGGGGAGAGCAGCAGATGTTGTTTATCTTGACTCTATCAAGGCTTTCAACACCATCTCCCATAACATCCTCACAGATGAATCACGGCAGCACAAGCTAGGTAAGTGGACAGTGAGGTGGACTGAAAACTGGCTGAAACGCCAGGCTCAAAGGTTGTGACCAGCAGCCCAAATTCCAGCTGCAGGCCAGTTACTAGTGGTGAACCACAGGAGTCGATACTGCAGCCGATACGGTTCAACAGCTTCATTAACTACTTGGACGATGCAGCAGAGCGCACCCTCAGCAGGTCTGCAGGGGATACAAAGCTAGGAGAAACGGCTGATACACTAGAGGGTCACACCACCATGTGCAGGGACCTCAGCAGGCTGGAGAAACGGGCAGAGCACCACCTCAGGAAGCTCAACAAAGGCAAGCGCCAAGTCCTGCACCTTGGGAAGAATAACACCAGGCACCAAGACAGGCTGGGGGCCGGGCAGGGGGGGCAGACAGCTGGGAAGCAACTTGGGACCAAAGGACCCAGGGCTCCTCGCGCACAACAAGTTGACTGAGAGCCAGCAAAGGACCCTTGCGGCTAAGAAGGCCTCCCAGGCTGCACGAGGAAGAGCAAGGCCAGCAGATGGCGGGAGGTGATCCCACCGCCACATCTGCAGCCCTGGGTCCAGTGCTGGGCTCCCCAGTGCAACAAAAACACAGGCATCTCATCTCGGCACGAGTCCAGGGAAGGGCCACAAACATCATTAAGGGACTGGAGCATCTCATACAAACAGAGGCCAAGAGAGCTGGCACTGTTCAGCCTGGAGAAGGGAAAAGCTCAGGGGATCTTATCCAGGTGAATAAATACTTGATGTGGGGGCAGGGGGGAAGAGGGGTGTAAAGAAGCCAGGCTCTTTGCTGTGGTACCCAGTGAGAGGACAAAGAGGCAACGCACACATGAATTGAAATAAAGGTAATTCCAGTGCAGCATTAAAAAGTTGGGTTTTTTTTTTTTTTCTTAACGGTGACGGTATCCATATTTGCAAGTATTTAAAACCTGAGTGGACATTGCCCTGCACAACCTGCTTCAGTTGGTCCTGCTTTGAGCAGGGATTTGGACTAGACAATCTCCCATGCTCTCTTCGCGCACGCATGTGTATGTGTTTTAAATGTATGTAACTGGTAACCCTGATTCTAATGAAATCCAGTGCGTCTTTTGGCCTCTTTGGAGTTAATGGCAAGAGTCCACACTCAGATTAAAACTAGTGGGGGCAATTCTGATAATTGGATCAAATTTATGGCATAACAGAAACTAAGGAATTTGCTGAAATAATTCCTGCCTCAGACTCTTGTTTTCGCTAACTGACTGAAAAAGCAGGAAATATGTATTTATAACAAGTTTTAGGGGATATTCAAATACGATATTTACTGGAATAACATACACAAATGTTTTCTCCTTTGTAATGAAAAAGTACACTCTAAAAGAGGAAATCATTCCTCTGAGCACTCTCAAAAAAACTCTTTAATTTAACATGCACACTAGAAACGTGAGTCAACAGCACAGTATTCTGTGATACTAAATGAAAAACAGATACAGTTATATGGGCATTCACGGGTTTTTGACTCCATGACCCAGAGAACTGTTCCACTGTATATGACGAAATTAGCCCACGGAATAAGTTTCATAACTCATCTAGAACAAAAGCACAGATACATTGTAGAATAAAAGTTAATGAAATTCCTTAGATTCAATATATTACTTAGGAAAAAAAAATCCTTTAGCAGTTGAAATTATTCATCTTTTAAGTGAGCAGGTTACGTTTATATTTTTGCAGATTTTTTCTTTACAAGTTCACGTCTGAGTTGAAAATACAACTACAGAACATATTTCAAATGCTCTAAAGAGCTATTTCCCTAGGGGGGAAAAAATTATCAGTACACACTTATTTTACTCTCTATTGTCACAGAGAACAAAGAATATATATTAAAGTGCATTTCTGTATATATGTACCCTTGCATGCATATGCTGCATGTATACAGTAGCATGGACATCTCATGTTCGTGTTGCTAAGGAACCAAACAAAAGTGTGATTACAAAGACATTAATTCTCAAACAGGGAGAGTATGTGTATGCCTTTTTTGTTAATCAAGGAAAAAAGCTAATTTACAAGATTACTTGGTTAATAACCAGGAGCACATTAAAGCTAACAAAATCATTAAATCTGAAATTAGAAGTTGATCCATACCATAGTGTTTTATGTACTTTAACATAACTTCAGAAGCTAGCCCAAAAGGTAGTAGACTACAGCATGATGTTAAGATGTAACTGTTTTTGCCTGTAACAAAAGATGAAACAGAGAAACCCTGACAGTTTTTTTTAAACTTGCTAGAAACTCAAAAAATTTAGGAAACATCACAGTTAAAATCAATGGCACGAGATAAAATACCATGGAAATACACTACTGCTTTAAAGGAAGACAGAAAAAGTTTGCTATAGAGCTGTGTTTTGGGGAAAAAAAAAAATCAATCTATAGGCATAGCCATAAAAAAAAAGGATGAATCAACTGTTACTTGGGTTCACATTCATATTTTCCTGCTGTTTCACAGAACATCATATAATCCCTATTCAATACCTGTAACAGTTTTATTTATTTTGGTCCATCTGCTCTGCAAATGTTCTTGCAAAGCAGTCTCCCATGGCAACATCAAATATCACATAGACCCAGTCTTCTGTTGAAGCACTTAACCGATCCACTTGTGAATTTCAAGCAGTATCTCTTCCTGCAGTACTTGCTCAGGTAAATAACAAATAAAATGTAGTCTCCCAAGAAAAGAAACACATATATGAATGAAACACATATGCTGCATGAATATGAACCTAATTTGGTGGGCCCTTTTTTTCCCCCCTCATTACAATAATTTCATTTTTGAAGAGATTTGCATTTCAATCATGTAAGGCAGGAATGGGAGATCTATGTTATAAAACAACTATCAATCTGTTGGTATTTTTTAGTTGATGAAACAGCTCGAAATAGTTACATGTAGCAAAACAAACTGTGCACAATAAAAGTTCTAAAGAACTGGCCACACTACCCTGGGCAGTAAAAGTTTTGGAATTAAAAGCACACAGTGACTGCCTGGTATGCCACAACTGCAGCTACGTATAATGAATCACCTCCACATCATCAACAGCCCATCAGATTTCTTCACCCTCATGTTTAGAATGATCAACAGAAACATAAACAAGAGGAAATTTTCCTTGATGTATTTTCATGCAAGATAGGAACTAACAGTATCAGTAAACTACCCAAACACAACTTATGTACAAACCTTTCTGATCTAGCTATATTTGTCTCAACCAAAACTGCCAAAAAAACAGACAGCAACTCAAGAGTTTCACCCAA